ACTTGTGACCAGTTCAGCGTGCGACCTGCTAATAACTAGAGGTGACGACAGCTAAAAGACTGCAATGAAAATTGTATTTTCTACTTATTTGATAAACACGGCCTGAGGATTTTCCTTTCTTTTTGCAAAATGACAATAATGGGAATGACTTACCGACAGGTTTGCACCAAAAGGCATAAAATTACATGACTTTTTATTAGCGTCTCCACACAATCTTAACCTCATCGAGACTGGCAAGCGAAGAGAACCTACYACCACCCCAAGGCAAAGAAAAACCCTTAAAACTGAAGCACCTACAACCACAGTACAGAAGTACACAGGATAACAGAGTCCATAACTCTTTTTAACCAGTATCTTTGAAATTCACTGGAGTTTGAAGTCAAGAGATCAACGTATTGCCCTATCCCGTCCTCAGATAAAACATYGCGTTCCCAGGAAAGACACAGCGCGTATTATCACCCCGATAATGAACGAGTACTTTAAAATTACAATGTACACACACAGCAGGTAATCCAAGGCTAGGCAACTTCCCCAAAGCTTAAGGGGAACTGTGGATAGCTTGGAGGATCCTCCCGACAGCTACTGTGCAAATTAAGGGAGGACCTAAGGACTGAAGGACCGAAACAGAGACCAAGAGGTCTCTGCGTGGAGCTTAATGAAGGTGTCTAAGTGTGGTAGGACAGGAGACAAGCGGCAATGCCGGGGCCACGAGGACACAACTTGTCACTTCTCCCTGCAACTGAGGTTCTGTGCTCCCTGTTTTAACTGCTCCACAAATCCCTCCTCCAAATCCTTCATTCAGCTGCTCCGCTGCTTGACACGGAAGCTTTTGTGCTCAGGACAAAAGCCAACAAACCAAACCTAGATCACTACCAGGAGGTTTTACTAGTATCAACGTGGTATAAGTGGAACAAAAACGGAAGGGAGGAACACTGAGAGCCTACCAGCATGGCCTGAGTTCGGGATGGAAGCGCACACTGAAGTTCACCAGTTCCCTTAAATGATGCAGGGAAAAACAGCAGAAACGGAGCCAGGAAAGTCCTTCTCCTCCACACCTTGTCCAGCCACGGAGGAGCAGAGGATCCTGGTGCAACTCGGCTGCACTGAAGGGCCCTGCAGCTGGTGCTGAAGGGCACAGAGAAGCACCAAGCCATCCTGCTCCCTCAAGGGAGGCTGCTTTTCCCGACAGCTCCCACCAGCAGAATGCAGAGCCTGGTATCCCTCTAGAGCAAACGCTGGAGAACGTCTCCTCCCAGCTTCCCCGGTGCAAAACAAACACTAGGCGCAAACTCAATGCTCTCCTCCACTTTTGGGCCTATCTGCAAAAATGAGAATAGAAGAAACAAGCCCAACATCCACCTATAACCTCAGAAGCTAGAGAGCTTTAAAAAGCAGGAAAAGTTGAATCTGTAGAACCAGGAGAGCCCCATCTTGACACTTGATAACAAAGACATATCTATCAGGAGCCAGGGCTATGCACAGCAGTACCAGAACATCAGAGAAACCGTATTTCCAGCTGTCTTTCTGCTACTATTTATCCCCCGAGTTTCTTTACAGGCTTTGGGGGAGCCAGGAGCGCCTCGGCTCCGCACGCAGGACTCGACCTTCAGTCGGAGAGTAGCGCTGTCCTTACCTCAGCATCCTGACTGCGCATCCAGGGATGCAAGGGTCAGCAGAACCGCCCGTCCCATGTCCTTAAAAATTCCATGCCAAGAGCTCGGCACATGGCCAAAGCTTTTCCCTTGCTCCTCCTCCCCTGCCCACGACCTCACAGAGCGGCCCAAGTCCTGACCTAGGGTTTCCTGCATCCTGCTCAAAGCTCAAGGTCTAGTCACTCCGGTTCCTCTGGAAAATAAAAGGGGCATTATTGCATTCAGACTCACATGCTTTTCTTTTTTTGCCTTTTTTTTTTTCCCCCTCTTTAAATCCCTGAGATTTAAAAATGCCAATAAAGGACCGGTATAGCTGTGAAATACAAGAAGAAAAACATTATAGGTGGGTTTTTGGATTAACTGCTTTGCAGGAAGCTGTATTAGCAAGCTTTCTCTCAGGATTAACAAGCATATCTACTGAAAGGACAAGAAAGCTTCTAGATCCTTTGAAAATCCAGGGAATTTGGTTGGATTTATTCCCACGTTAAGCAATTCTACCAGAGTAAGAGTGAACACTTTGCAACCGAGGTAAAGCTGAATGGAGGCACTCACTTTTAAACAGCAGAACCTCGATTCTTTTTTAAAGAGATCAAACAAAATTAAGAGCCTCCCTCTATATCTTTAGCTTTAGATTTGTTCCCATCTCTACTACTTGTAAAATAAGTGTTCGCACAGAAGCCTTTTTTCTTTTTCCTCCCTTTTTTTTATAGTTACATAATGTAGCTGTTAAAAGGACAGGAGATAACAAGCCTAGATGCACAAACGTACCAGCTTTTGATACCACCGAAGACATCCTCCAAGTGCCTATTTACCAATTTCACACTAAACAACCATGACATTGCATCCACAGGTATGAATAAAGCCAAAGACAGAATACACATTCAACGGAATAAAAAAGTAAAAATCATGTAGAATGTTTATAAATGTGAAAAAGAAAAAAAAAATTAAACGTGATTGAAAGTTCATACTACTACTTTGTTCTATAGAGCTTTGGGTTTCTGTGCAAAGATGGGCAAAAGACGACAGGTTTCTATAGGAATGACAGTGATTCTGATACTCAGCCACAACATTATGGTCAGTGCTGTAAGGAATAATCATGCCTAGAGAAATACTAAACTAAAGAAACAGGTAACTGAAAGATATTTTGCTTCATTATGCTTACCATGCATTGCAAGAGACTCCTTTGAACTTGGAGACCTCTGTCAAATAAGTGATTTTTTTTTTCGTGTTTGATTAAAAATTAAGGTATTCTAACAAGTCCATCTATGATAAAATCGCTATGAGTAATAAATCCGTGAGCACAAAACTCTGCTTGTCATCATAACCTGCTTGTTTCAGAAGCTGATTAAAATGGTACATTATGATCCCCTTCTGGCATCTGCAAAACAGGACGACAGGCGGCGCAAAGYGAACGACTGCAGGAGATGATGCTTTCTCAAATCATTTCTCAGGAAGGCACAATTTTCCCTGAAGTGTCTTTTGCTGAAAACAGCACGTCACTTTACAGCAAAAGCTAAAGCCATCACCAGATTTACTGCTGCCCATCCTCCCCAGAGAAAGCAGACTTTGCACCTGGAATGAACTAACTCGTGAGCATTTTTCTGCAGTGTGATTAAATAAAGGAAAGGAAGATTAGAGAAAAAGCTATGGGGCTTAAGTGCTTTTATAGCCTGTGCATATATCTCCAAATGACCGCAAACCAGCCGCAAACGTGCTTGCTGCTGGACTGCTGAAGGCACTTTGCAATCAGAAAACATAATGATTGTCTTCACAAGAAATTTTGTTGACTCCTGTTTTTCAGTTGATCTTGCATACATTCTTCTAAAYGACGTATGATACTTATTCTTTGAGGTATACAGTAGACGTGTTGCATAGTTTTCATATTTTAAAAACTGTCCTTCATAGCTGATTGCCTTTTTTTTTTTCTTCTTTTTTGGTGTGGAAAAATAAGAGGATTCCCGCTGCAGTACAGGACATCATCTCACTCATCAGATGTGGCAACTTGTTAACACACATCTGGGAAAAGACACGTGGCTGACACATTTATGGCCAAAATATACTTCAATATACTGTAATTTCTGAGATTTCTGCATGAGGCAGCTGATGCTCCCTGAAATCACTGCGTTTTCTGAAACTTTGGAAACATCACAGCCTATTATAACACATTTCGGATGCCACACATATAACACGGCACCAAAGCTAGGATGCAATCAGGGAAACCAAAGGCAAGAGAGTCAAATGTATTCTGAGAGTTCAAATCCAGCCACTGGATTTGAGTTTTCCAGCTCACAGTGACTGACACCGTACCCTTCTTTTGACTTCTGTGCTGGAACAGCATGAAGGCATCCGTGGCACTGCGTGCCCGTCAGTGATCGACATGTGCTTTTTCCGTCCAGTCTTCTTGAGTGAGATTCTTTAAGTTATTCTGAAAGTCAAAAGTCAAGTTCTCACCGGTCGCTTGGGCAAAGGGATTGCTAAAGAAAAGGTTCGCATCCAGCGGGGCGGCYGTTTCGGAGTCCCAGGAGTCTGTCTCTGTGCTGCTGGAATCTTCGGTGGCCGTGGGCGGATAACTCAGCTGTTCCAGCTGATCGATGATGTCGGTGAACTGAAAGGCCGAGCTGGACTCAGAGCGCACGGAATAGGCTGGGAAATTCACCATGGAGCTGGCCTCGGAAKGGTTGGCAGAGCTGTAGGCGCGCGAGGACGTGCCGTTCAGTGGCAAGTTATTGAGGGARCTGCTCTCGGAGCGGTTGTTGATGAGGGAGCTGGTTTCAGACGGGCTCAGGAGGCTCTGCATGCGGCTCGCGTGCGCCTTGACCTCAAACAATTCCGAGGTATCCGAAGGTCTCTCGTTGCCATTGAAATCACTCCCTTCTTCAAACTCAAACTCATCTTCCATATTCATATCGACTGCTTCTGTTGAGTACCTGTCAGGGCTCGACTGGGAAGAGACCGTGTTTTGTTGGAGGGCGTCTGTTGTTAAGCCAGAGGGCTCCAGCGCGTGCTTAGAAAACTCAGAGCCCTTCAGCTCTAAACCACTGTACACGTAGGAAAAGGCCTCAGATCCCCCAGCAAAAAAGGAGATTTCTGCTGGGTCATCATCAATGAATTCCTCAGAAACCTGTAACGGCGAATTAGGGAAAAGGGGGGCACCCCTACCACAGTGCTGCTGCTCTCTTTCGGCAGTGAAAACACCCGTGGTAAAGTCATCCTCATCATTGTCATTTTTACAACCAGCAACCCTACTCTCTTTGCTACTCTTCTCTACGTCTAGGTCTAAACCGCAACTGCTCTCAACAGYAGGACAAGCAGAGTTACAGTTTCCTGCAACACTACCAAACCCAACACCTTGGAATGACTGGAGCATGGCAGATCCCGGCTGCGGCATCGGCTTCCTCACAGCTTCTTCCGCTGGCATCGCGGGATTTTTTTCAGGAATCCTTGCGAACGGCGCGTGGGGCTCTGCCGAGGAAGGGCTGGTTTCTGCAAAGATGGGCAGGACAGGAGGAGGAGTGGTCGCTGAATGAACTGAATGGAAGGGGGTGCTTGCTGAGGCAGGAGACCCTGGGGTTCTCAAGCCCTCAGTGAAGGGGACACTCTGAGGGAGAAATGAGAAGAGAACAAGTGAAAAGATTATTTTTTTTTAACACATAAAAGCAAATGCCACATCTGGCTCCCGATACAGAAGGAACGCACACATCAAGGAAGTGCCTTTTTTAGCAAATAAAACTGTATGTAGAAAGAGACCCAGCATCCCCCAAAAGATGACAGGTCTTTTTTTTCATGAATTTTCATAACCAAATGGAAAACTACATCACATAGTTTATACCCTCTGCTGAGAAAACACCCACATGGGAAAGGAAAGCACCGACAAAGACAAGCCAAACCCTGCCCTGCTTCCTTAGCCTCTTGCACTGACTGCAAGGCCATTTATGTGAAACTGCTGCTTTCACACTCCTGTCTCCTGCTGCATCATAAGAGGCACCTGGCTGCCTGAGAGCTTCCTTGACAGCAACATCTAGAGGGCAGCAGCACTAACCTGTTTGGGCACGTCTGCGTTGGAAGCGTGAGCAGACACTCTAGCTCTGCTGTGCCGCCTGCGGGAAAGAGACCAGCCAGGGTGAGTATCCAGGCCATCACTTGGCCTTCTCCCTCCCCTCTTCACCTATTTCCCTTTTAATAGCCCACAGAAAAGGTCCAAGATGTGTTTTTGCCCGTTTTCTTCATGACTACACCAAAAACTAAAGAGTTGCAACAGTTCCAAGTTAAACAACACAGGAGTACGAAATGCAGAGAAAACGGAAGGAAGCAAGACTCAGCTCGCTCATAACCTCTGAGGAAGAAGAGCAAAATGGGACAAAAGAAGAGATTAAGCAGCACTTAGTTTAGCTTTTTCCTTTTATACATCACAAATGAACAGCTTCAAAGCAGAATAAGTTCATTTGTAACAATTATACCAATATTCTAATCTTTTTTTTTCAGGTAACTACACAATTAATGCCACGTAACAACCTTAGCATTAAATCCCCASAAGTGGTATCATGCATAGCACTGATGGTTAGATTCAGTTCATGGCAATTATTTTCTAGGAAAAAAAAATCTTTCATAAGGTAAGGAGCTCAGATGCTGAACACACTCATTAATAGCAGAGTTTAATGCAGGCCTTTTGAAAACTACTTGAATTCATATAATCTTTCACCTAAGAGGCTAGGAAGAACTTGCTCTCTGTAGAAGGAACAGTTTCATAGTCATGTAAACACATTTTCACCATAAAATTACTTCCAGTTTCCAGTGTTTCTTCATTTTCAAACCTTTTTATTTTTAGAAGAGGCCGACATCCAGAACCCAAGTCCAATTATAAAGTCATAATTATACATACATAAGAAGCTAGGGTCTCTAATATCACTATCTTTTAGTCAAAGCACACAAAGAGGAACCTACATACAAGTCCTCACTAATTGCACTGTGTCTTCACGGGACTTGTAGAAAGCTAAGCCACAGATTGCCCACAAATATTGAAACATAACACTGAAATTTCCGTAAGCTTTGCATCATCACGAAATTATAAATTGGACAAAAACCCCTAATTTGGCTACCTTAAATTTGAGTTAGACCCCAGTAACTAAAAGTTCAGCAGAAGACCATACCAACAAACATCAGTTAAAAGCATTGAAATTCAAGAAATAAGGGTGCTCTGAAAGTCTCAACTAGCATTTTACTTGCCAGCCATCTTTGTATTTACCTCTCATATGGAGTTTTCTTCATCCCGCTGTCCTTAATGTAATCCACTAGCTGCTTCTGCGTCCGTCCACTGCGAACCCATAAAAGGACAAGTGTTATGAAATGCRGAAGACAAGAATTATGGTCAGCTTTGGAGCAAAGAGCTTTTATAAATCCATAAAAGATCTGAGATTTAATTTAGCTGGGTTACTTTGGAAAAGTTCTTCTCCTTTTATTCTCAGTTTTTTGAGTTATAAAAAGTTCAATTTTAAAACATTTATTGTGGCTCTGCCTACCTGTATCTGAAGGAAGACCCTCTGGTGAAGAACACTGCTTTAGCCTTCGGCTTTGGCTGATCAAACAGCCTAAAGAACGTGTGATACTCAACACAGATTTTCCAGAAGTTTTTACACTCATCTCTACTTCCCAAAAGAAACTCCAGTGTATCCTGATATGGGCCCTGGGAACAAAATACAAAAGGCTCAAGTAGCACTTAATATGGAGCTGAATAGGACAAAACAAATATATGCAACAAAAAATATTTACAGTGAGTTGCAGCATTTTCCTACGGCACATTTCATACTACCTAAGGCAGTRGTTACAATTTTTAACGCAGTTTAAAATCATCTACCACTTTTCAAAAATATGTTTACTTTTAAAACATAAAAACATTTAAAATACACTCGACTACAAGTTCAGAAAAAGGCTGGATATAATTCACATTAAGTAGTATGGAGTATGAAGTTAACAACTTGAAAGGAATTAAAACTACAAGAGTAGTTGTTTGAAAATATTTCTTTATGGAAGTTGTATAAAAGCGAATGTCAACACACAGTTATCCCACGAACTTTCTGAGGTTGCCTCTAGGAGATTCTTCRCTATTCTTGCAGAGTGTGAACTGATTCGAGCTTCTGAGATGTATACAACTATGTATTTTTCTTTAATACAACCTTATATTTATTAGAAACAAATTAATTATTAGATATTCACCACATTCCTAGATTAGAAGAGTTAGAGGAATACTTAGAAATGTATATATATGTTTCTATGCTGCCAAGCCTATAGTTATGGTAAAACTTACACGGACCTCTGGGTGGAGTTTAATAAGGAACCTCTTCCTCTTGAAGCTTAGTTTACGGACCTTAGACCAGTTGAAGGTGTTAATTTTYGTGTTACCCTGAATTAAAACAGTAAAAGTTAAAGCAAAAAACTTCAGAAATGACAGCACAGCACAATCTGCTGCATGCATACACACACATCCACATCCTCCTTGATCTGTATTTCTGCTAGCAATATACCTTGCAGYATCTTCGTATTTCAACATGGGCATAGCTACGAGTGGTGTGATATCTCTGGGCAGACACCAGAATTGAATTTATAAAATCTTGTCAGTCTAAGAGRAAGGGAACTGAAAATTCAACCTCACCAATAGTCAGGATACTGTATGGCAGAAACAAGACCAAAGTTGCAATTTATTTAACATCGTTTCCTTCRCCCTTGCACTGCTTACAGACACTACATCCTCACCCAAGCCTCATTTTCCCTAACACCACCCAGCATCTGCAAAATCTCAGGTTTTGAGACTTGCTTCTCAAGACAGAAAGCTTAAAAGAGGTCTGGAATACAAGTCATATCATAGCTTCAAAGCACTGATCCTAGAGGAGCGAGCAAGCAAGCAGCAAGAGATTCCTCCCCCATTCCAAATCCAGAGACACACRTATGTAAGCAACATGTGTTCCCCACCTCACCTGGAATACTAGCACACCCATGTGCGAAACAGCCAGATTGATTTTTGTGCCCTCACGGTCCGATGCAAGGTGAAATCTTATCCCGTACATCTCCAGTTTCCGGGCAACTTCAAGCACTTGGAAGTCTGATTCAGCAGGAGTTTGACCCCTGTAATGAGGAGCAGCAACAACAACAACAAAGGATATAAAATCATGAAGAACAATTTGATAGTACAATCTTGCCAACATGGTTGAAGTATTTAAGTCATAACTCTGGCACTTTATCAGAATACTCTATCTAATCTAGCCTGATAATTTTATTCCAAGTGAAATATTCAATACCTTTGTGATAGGAGCAATATGCAATAGCAAACAGCCAAACTGAAATGCATCCCCCCAGGCAGCCACGCTRAAAGAGATACTAACTAGTTAAGAGCTTTTTTCAGCTGAGAAGAAATGAAGTTCAATAAATTCCAAATTCAAGCCACAACGCTCYTGTTTGCATATGCAGTTCTATCATGAGACCCAGAGCAAATGAAGCCYGATGAAAATGTCACCTACTGGTATGCCAGAAACAAAGCAGAATTACAAATTTGAGAAGGATTACAGGCTTACGTCAAGGTTTACACCAATTTCTTACAATTGTTTTTAAAGTAACAGCTGGCATTGGAATAACAGGAMAACACGAGCATGTTCAAAAGGAGCATCTTCTCAGTGTGCAGCAGAGGTCAAACTAAAACTGAGAACCTCGTGGTTTGAAGCATGCAGCAGTCACAGGATTCAGCACTTATTTAGTCCTCAGGCAGTCTACTGAACTCCCAGCATTTTGTCTTCCTGCTTTATCAGGACGGATCCCCGTTTCCATCTTTCTCCACGTGGGGGAGTTTACTGGATAAAGTGCATCTTTTTTTCTCCCCACAAGTGTTTCCTCAAGTGAGCAGAAAACTTGGAGCCAGGGAGTGGGAGGAACTGCACAGAATCAGGAAAGCCAAGAGCCAAAAATGGGGACTGTCCCCAAGGAAATAAATTTCATGAGYTTTAAAATGATCTAATAAATTCTTGGTACTTACATTGACGGGTATTTTTATTTATGAGTAACACAACTGYTTGTTGCATGTTGGGTGGATCCAGTCAGGGGGTTTATTTCAAAGACATTCAAAGCACAAATAGTGCTGTGGAAATTAAGGAGTACTTCAACTATTCTGCAATTAAGAGGGTGAGATGTGGGTGAGAAGAGTTTTTCACTGATGGCCCAGGAGGGCTGAAACCAGCTTAGGTTTCTGCAGGTGGTGTCAAGCTGAACTTTTAAAAAGTCTGTTTTCCAAGAAATTGCTTTCCTCCCATGAATATATATTCCATTTCATTAAAAGACATGATAAACTATTTGTGGCACAATCTATTTTTGCATCCTGTGCAGAGCCAACCATGGCACGGGCACTCAATAAAGTCTCCAGCTACCCAATCTTTCCTCTTCAGGCGTTTGCCATAAAAATACCCCCTTCTACCTGTCTGCAGTCACGGCTTAGATTAAACAACTTTTTTTGTTCTGCACAGACTTTTTAAATATACATTGAAGTGATTATTAATTTTCACTTCTCAGAAACAAGGATGACTATAGCATAGCAACTACATGTAGGAGGGAGCTCTAAAATACCCTATTTTAAATTATACAACTTGACAGCCTGTAAGAAATGGAACTTGTTAGAAAAACTGATGTTCCTCCACTGCTTAGTAAAGTGTTCCTTACGCTAAAGCACAGACAGCATTAAAAAAGTCCAAGCTCTACAGATTTGATCCCTATTCTGCCCCGATTCCAGCTTCAATATTGCGGGAYCCCATATGGTGACAACGCGACCGTAAAGAACCACATTCTGGGGGTCCTATTTCAAATGGAAAGATAAATGCCAAACAAAAAGCCCCAGAGTGTGATTCCTACCAGCTTTCCTACCTCCTGCACTAGTTTTGTTTAGGGGATGCTACTGATAAAGCAGATTTTTCTTCTCCTCACTGAAACTCTTCATGTTCTATGTTAGCTCTAAGTGTCGCTAACATCTGCTCTGTGCTTTCTGCTCCATGGTTTCTGCTGATCATTTATCTGCCTACAGCACAAAAGAGACAAGAAATAATTAGTTTTGGTCACAGCTTTGGGAGCGTCAGCCCCCTAAATCCTGGAGCAAAAATTAGGATAAAAGGGCAACGGGAAAATTGGACAATATCCTGCTAAGGCTTCCTGAGAAACAGTCCAGTTGGAACTCATGCAGCCTCACTGCTAATTATGGTGCATTCTGACCCACCGGGTACAAACTTAAAGCACAGGGCACCTCAGAAAGAACAGAAAACACATAATATTCCTTAAGGAATATTCTGCCATGCCTGGACCTGCCGAAGGAGGAAGAGGGAATGAAGTCGAGCAGCTCACGCCGCACGACAAATGTTTACAAGCGAGAAGCAGTTTCGTGGTCATTATCCTCAGACTCTTGGCACAGACTAATCTGCCCAGCCCAGCCCGAAAACAATCTGGGCTAATTTTGTCCATCCATTAAGCAGATCAATCTGCTTAGTCTTCCTCGGGTCAGTGGCTGACAGACTATCTGTTAAAAGGGTTTTCCAGCAAAAACTGCTGCCACTGCAACAGATTTTAATGGAAAGGTACCTTACATGAGTCCACAGTGACGACTATTTGCACATACTCACGTGCCACCTGTGTTCCTGTGGCAATAGCAGGCAAACAGTGTAAAGCAGATGCTGAGAAAGGCCTGGTGACTTATAGCTTTTAAAAACAGCCATGAATGCAATATTTTCAAGACGAAATATTCAAAATTCTGCATGCTTAACGAATGCTTAGAGTAGAAAAAGCAGGATTTGAGATCCCTGCAAAATTTTTAGAAAATTCACCAATACCATATGTCCAAAAAAGAATCTAACTTAAGATAGATAGGCCCGTAATTTGTGAAAGGTGGAGGATAACAGTAAACACGAGTGTCAGTCTAACAAATCTTTGCTTTCTGTCCTGCCTTACGCACATACACACAAAGCAACAYGGTCATGCAGATGCAAACAATTTATGTGAACTAAAGAAAAACATCCACCAAGCAAAACAGACTCAGCACTTATTTTCATGCATCTATTCTCTAACGTTTAATCCCAGACTACAACTACCTTTTAGCAAGTTTTCCACTTCTTTTTTTCCCCTCTAAGGCGGCAGGCAACATTATATTTTGAGTATTTGGGATGTTGGGATTTATCCATGCCGCCACCAACACGCAGCACTAATTTAAACTTACCCGCAAACTGAAAGTTAATTCAGATTTCTGCTGACGAAAACGCAATAGAAAATCAGTTTACAATCCCATATTTTTCAGTACAATCACTTCTGTATATTGGCTCTTCTTTAGATACAGAATGGATCGGATACAAAGGCTGCATTTTATCCAGCTTTACCTTCTTTGGTCAGTTCTAACAGCTGCTGTGAAGCTGTACAAAATCAAAATGATGTTTTTAAATGCAATGAGACACTCCCAGCATCAGTCCAAAGAGCTAAGGCACTGGAGAAGTCCACAGCTTGAGTCCTGCACCAAAAGGAATCACTGCTCCTATTCCAGCGCAAGGAAGCCAGATCCACACTCCCGATCGGTCGGATACAGGAAAGCAGAGTGTGCTGGTACACAAGCAAGGGTGCTCAAAGCAAAGCAAGGGCTGCATGGATGCAAAGAGAGAGGCAAAAAAGAGCTAGCACAGTCGGGAGATGAGCCATTTGGTCAGAAATGGCCCGTGTGCTTTTCCTGGAGGCAAGACGCAGAGGCAAACCTTAGCTGGAGAGCGAGTCACGCCGCCAAAGAGGAGCAGGGGAACCGGGAAGGCAATAAAAAATACAAACAAAATAAAACAAAAGCAAAGGACGAGGACCATTAGACAGAGAAGAAAAATATTTTGCTCATTTAGCAGCGCTCTGCATGGCCTGGAAGGAGCCAAGAGCCCAAATTCCACATTCCCATTTGCTCCTGGTAACAGAAATGTGGAAAATGAGCGGGCAAACTTTGGGACCTTCGCAAGTCTKACTAAAAATGGAAGAGGGTGGCCAGTGCTCCGAGGGGAAGGCAAGAGAGCGGCGACGTGTAAGGAAGTCGCAGCTATTTTTAGACTTGCAGCGCTTCCAAAATCACATCTGTTTAACAAACCTTTTCCAAAGCAGCGAGGAGGTTTCAAGGGAGCAGCCAAGATACTCAGGTAGCCCTCATGCTCAACTGCAACTTTTGCTGGCCCAAACGCCCCCAGGTTTCATCTCTGCCCAACCCCAGCATAMGTTTTTATAGCATTTCTTAAAAATATGGCTTGAAATAAATTTTATAACAGGGTTACGCTGCATTGCAACTGTCATTAAACCAAGGAAAAATGCATCCATGAAGTAAGGATTCCTTTGCCATCCATTTTCCTGTCCTSGAAACATAGGTCACGCTGTAATATAAGTTTCTCTATAGTATAAATTAATTAAAAGTGGTTGGGCTGAAAAAGAGTGCAAGGTTTTATGGCTAAAATTACCCGTCCCTGGCTCAGATGACAGACTCTTGCCTTGCAGCCCAGGGAAGTAAAACATGGAAATTAAAAGCAAGAGGGAAGAGCTACAGATATCCCATTAACAAGGAGTTGTCCTGGGCTTGTTCTGGTGACATTTTTCCCCAGAACTACAAAAATTGTTTCATCTCCAATTGTAAGAGCTGCTGACGTGCGCTCCATGGTGCTGCCAAATCCTTTCCTCATCCCAGCTGCAGCTTTAAACTCCGCAGCATCTTGCAGCACTGTCACGACGTCACTCCAAGCTGCACAAGATAAGGGTGTTTTCTTCTGTTTTAAGAGTTGTTGCCTAGGTTTYTTTTGTGCTTCCTTCTCTTGACTTGTAAGAAATAACCAAGTGTTTTTAATTAAGTTTACTCTGCAAAAGTGTAGCTGAACTTAAGTGCCTGCAAACAGTAAACAACTCATTACTGAAAATAGCCAGGAGCTGCTTTTCGGTTATAGGAGGTATCTCAGCTTTAAATATAGAGATGTTGCCATAAAACCCTGCGAGTTCTGTCTTAAAAATAAGTCAGTCAGCTGCAATCCTTGAATTTATCCATGAAGGAATAAAAGGAAAAGKTCTAATACTGTATTTAGGTTATGATCCATGGCTACGAGCATTGAATTTTCTTCATAAATAATAAAAACATTTCAAACTGCTAAGCCCCAAAACACAAGGTCTCAAAAATTAGAGAAATGATCTATATGTTAAAATTCATTTCTTTTATCATTTTATTAAAAATGATAAAAATGATAAAAGCAGATCAYTTTTTAATCTGCCCACACTGAGAACAGCACAAGAGACAGTTAAAGTGATCATTTCAAATGTTTCCTCAATTAYTACCATTTTATGACTAAAAGATGAAAAAAGCAAATTTATGGCACACATGGATCATACTGTGCAAATCTTCATCTTAAGARTACTATTTTGTGCATAACAGATCAACTCATCTTTCGTGAGCACCACAGCTCCATCTTACCCTAAACCTTCCTCTTCCTCCCCAAAATATTTTGTGCCACACACTATGAAGCAGAACTCCGTTGAGACCACTGTAAAACCATCTTAATTAGACTTTAAAAACATACAACCTTCCTACTGAATGTTGTAAAAACTCTGATAAAAGCTCCTTTTCCCTCACTGCCTCCCACCCTTTTCTATTTTCTTCATGCATTAAAGCATAAAGCATGAGCTCAAAATGAGCACAATAGTTTATTTCTCATTAATTAGGCAAGAGCAAGTCCCATGTATGTGATGACAAGCTGAATTTACACTTTGCAAACTGGAGATTCTTTAGATCAAATCTGTTTAAAACAAATTTTATATTTTCATGTTAGCTCTGATACATTATTAGAAACAGACTGTAAAAATCACTTGAAAAACTTYTGTACTCTTCCCTGCCTCTTGCTCTCTCAAAGAAAAAAGCTGTATTAGAACTAACGCACATTTAAATTCTCCACCCAAAACAACACTCATTTTTGTTGTCATCTATCCTCTTACAAACACTTGAGAATAAGACTGTTATCATCCACCATATACTTGGAAAAACACAGAAATTTAAGTAGTGCTGTCATTGTGCTCCCTCTTGCCATAAGCATTTAACTTAAGCSACATATATATAGGCAAAGTCAACATACCCAAACTTGCAGACTGCCCTTAAACAGAGCATCTTAACTCCTAAGGATGGAATAGCTGCCTTAGAATTTCCRTTCGCGCACAAAAGTAGATTAAGTTGTGTTAAGAACTCCTTTTAAGAAAAGTATCTACAGTAATTATTGCTACAACCAACCTTTCTTGTTATGGTGTTTGCAAATGGTGTTTAACATGTATGTTCTTAATATCACCCACCGTACTTGGCCTCCAAACAGGTCTATCTGCTTCACCAATTTCAAAAATGTACTGTGAATCTTCACTTACACATGTCTCCTGTGGAACTCCAGGATTTTTCCTTGAATTCTTTCCTGGTTTGGCAAATACTGATTTGTTTTAAGGTGTTCTCGATCCTCCGAGTCATCAAAATCCCCTATTTCAGCTATTACAGAAAATAAAACATGGTTAGAATAAAAAGAAACAACAACAAAAAAAAAAAAGACAGACATACAGGCTTTGAAGATAGAATTATGGGAATTATGGGAATTATGGAAACCCCAAGAGCAAGACTGTACTTGCCTTTATGCATTTTGAACTAAACAAGAAAGAAAATTGGAAGGTACTTATGTTAAAAATAATCACTTTTTTCTCCTCACTTGTACTTTTCTAGTACACTGGAAACAAGGTAAGGCCACAGACATTGATATTTCCTCAGCAGCATCATCACGTTGCCCTGCAATTCTCTCCCAAAATGATACCAGAGAATGATTAGCAATACTTTAATTGTGCATGTCACAGCACACACAAGACAGGTTGCTCTTCCAGTGAGATGAGATAAATTTTGCACATCTGAAGAGGTATTATTAAGCAAGGAGGTAGAAAAACCCATTTGTGTAGATCATATCACCAATTTGTAACACATCACTTGGCTCCTGCTCAAGGCGTCAGGCTAAGCTCAGCTCTTCCAATTCCTGACCCCATTCAGTCTTTCAAGATGCCTGACTAAAAACCAGATTTTCAAGACTTCAGGTGCTTGAAGACTGAGAAAGAAAAAAACCTCGAGAGCTTGAACTCAAGTCTGAAATCAATGGCTTTTCACTCCCATTTCCTAAACTCCAGTTGATTCTATGCGTGCCACACTCTAGCCAAAAGAAAATTTAGAATTAACATAAGAAAACACTGAAGTAGACATCTGCCAAGGAGACGAAGGCTACTGACCCAGTCCATATAGAGAAAAAAAAAGATATGCAGGGGATTCTTCATTTTTCATGATCTCCAGCAGCCAAAATTATCTCGTACATAAGCACCAGATGTTGCTCACACCACTGGCTAGCCCTGATTAAAATCCCAGTGTTCCAAGTAAGGATTACTGGACGTACAGAGAGAAATATTGAAAGATGGAAAACGTTTTTAGCTACCCAAACGCAGGCAATAGTTTGTGTGCTGTTTAGTTCAATTCAGCAACATCAGCTGAGATACYTACACTGCAGAAGATGAGAGACGAGAAGAGCTGCCGTGTTGTCACTGCAGGTTAGCCGCTCCTCTGCCAAGTCCCTCTTGATCTGCAATGCAAACAGATACCTAAAAAAAGGGGAGAGTTGAGAGAAAAGTGTTGACACATGAAGGATTTTAGAACAACTGCACAGCTCTTTTAGGCTGTGACTCCTAATTTGCCCTCTCTGTAAAAAGAGCACGGAACAGGGGTGTTACCATCAAGGACAGTCAAGTAAAACTAAACAACCCRTGACTAATCCAACTTCATGGTGCAATTTAACAGTGCAAACAGTGAATAGGAAGTCGAAGGAAAACACACTCTTGAACAAGTTTGTCAGGTAAAAGTGGTCTAAATTTTGAGCTACAAAGAAACGTTAAGGGGTGCCCCAAGTGATTTTATCTATAAAAATGGAGACGGGAGAATAGTGTGCAAAATATGTATGTATATATATATTTTTCTGCTGGCACTAGGTTAATTCATTTAGTGGTTATATTTTCCAGTACTATAATGTCAGCACTTTCTAAAGACAGTAACCAATTATATTGCCTTCTAATACTACACTGACATAAATAAAATAGTTTCTAAATTTGTTAATAAATAGAAAAGGATTTTGACAGTTTTATATTAGTAATAAGCTGCCTGCAAAATACATTAGCAAAAAGAAAACCATGTGAGTCTCGAAAGCATCCTGTTTAATAAGGACTGACTTTGCAGCCTAAGCCAATTTTGGCATAATTTTTAGGAATGCAACATTGGTAATAATGAAARTTCCATAAAGTGTGTTCCATTTTCTTCTTACCTGTGATACTTTTTTTTTGACGTACTTACAATAAAATGTACATATGTAGTTAATAGCATTACGAAATACCTAAAGGTCCTAAGCACAGAGCAGAATTTCACAATGATGAGCACTAGACAGGCAGAAAAAAACGGAAAGTGTCTGTTCCAAAAAGTTGTTATCCTTTACATAATTTGTACAAGAGAAGATAATTAAGAGAAAAATCTGAGGAGCAAAGATAAAACTGKGAGAAAGACTAAAGCAGCTCTTTATATATTTAAAAAAGGAGTCAAGTATCTGTGACAAACTTACCTTGATTTTATTTAAACAGGTAGTGGAAACCAAATTACTCAAGAAACATCTTACCTGGTATATTCTTCTTGCAACTGGCCAGGGTCTGGAGGGAAAAACTTGACTGCTAGACGAAGCATTGTAGTCTTTGGTCCTAAAAATAAGAAACAAATAAAGTAAGTATTTTTTGGCATCTCCGGAGAAGAAGAGTCCATAGCTGCCTCTCCGTGCAGCTTTGCAGCAGGKCAGCTCCAAGCTGCACTGGTGCTGGGGTCCAGTGTCCTCCAARGGCAGCATGGTGCAGCAACCACGCTGCATTTACACTAATCATTAAATTGAAACAGAAATTTAATAACTGGCATCATCCTTCCAAGTTGCAACAGGTAYTTTGTATTCAGAGGACAAAGCCTAACAAGCTGAATCCTGCACTGAAACACTGAAGAAATGATGTGGAAGGAATCACTAAGCCCCGAATTTTATGCGACCGAGGCAAAGAAAGCAGCTGGCAGTAAAGAAAGTTTCATAATGCTCTATGTAGCATTTTATAAAAGCATAAAATTCAATTAAATTAGCTTCAACTTCTCCACTCAGTCTACTGAACATCTGGCTCAGTGGCCACAACCCTGCTGAGCCAACRGTTTGGATGGGGCAGCAGAGCATCTCAGGAGCGTACGGGGCCATTGCTCAACATCAGCATTCCCATTTAGTCTTTATTTTGGGGAAAACAGGAAAGGCTTAATATTTTCCAGCCAGTCAGAACACAAGGTGCTCTTCATTTATGAGTTGTCAATGTATGAATGGACTGGCTGTACTAACTCAGGAGGGATTTCCCAAGATGTTATCACGGCAAATTACTCCAGCTCTGATGCTGGACTTCTTTACCAGAGCTCCCTTTCCAGATAATAGTGCAACCCATTTGTCTTCTAAACCCAAATCAAGACCAAAAAAATCCATCACTCCAAGGTTATYAGGGAGATGCAACAGCCCAAAATCTCAGGAAATACAAAGACACTAAGTCTAGACCTCGCATCTTGTTGTCCTCTCATTATTTTAACTAAACCCATCTTCTATTTCTTGCACATTTTTAGTTAGCCCCAAGACTAGAAGGCGTCTTCCATCACAGAGCTACGCTCAACATTTATGAGGACGGAAAACACGGATGAACAGAGACCTGTTCTGGACATGTCCCTTCCCTTGGTAATCTGCAAGGATGTGAAGATGCTCAACCTGACCACTCAGAGCCAGTAAAGGACAACACAGACCAAGAGCAGAAGGACCAACATCTTACATCTTCTCCCTGCTGTCACTCGCCTGTCTTCTTCCTATGTTTTTGACTACTGGGATTTTATTCTACCTGTAATGTCCAATTTCAATATCCTCACTTCCTAGAGTGGCACATTCCTTCACACACTCTCCTCTCAGCTGCTAACATAGGAATGACAAATTTTACTCCCTGCCAAATAGCTGGAAGAACAGAGTTTAAGACTAACCCAGCTGTCAAGAGTCAGGTCGCAGAATTATCAAAGCTTTGGTGACTCATAACACTAAAACCCTAAGCCTAATTGGAATGGGATATCTCTAAATGTAAGCAAGCTGGAAATAAAACCTTAGATTACACAAAACTGCTCACATTTGGCACGGACTCATTCCAACCACAAGCATCAACAGCTTGTGAGATGCAACACAAGGAAAAACAGGATTTTTTTTAGTGATCTGAGTTAAAATATTTATATGTTCTTATTAGGAAAAGGTTTTAGTGGAAAGAAATACTGGACCCAGTCCTAGGCTGGAGGCAGAATTTACTGTAAGAGGCCAAATCGGGGCGGGGAGGGTACGGAACGGAAGGGAAGGAAAAGAAAAAGGTTGTTCAAAATGAAAGTCAAGACAGGCATTTTCACCTGCTCACCCCAGCAATTTTGCACATTTATTTGTGAAGAGCTGTCTTGCCTGAAAGTCCATACGGAGGAAAGGAAGGTGCTGGCACCTTCCTCCTCATTAGGGAGGACTCCTGCCGCGTTCCCACAGTTTGGAATAAGCTTTTAACCCAAAGCGAGACATCTAAACACCGGTTAGAGGGGTCAGTCCAGCTCCTGAAGCCTTCTGGCTGCGTTACCACTGCCCCAAAATCACGAGTTTCGAGCTCCAAGTATTTGCTCGGATGAAAGATTCAGTGTCTTAAAAAAATAAACTTAAAATCCCAAAACTTTTGGAACAAACTCCTCCAAGAGAGGATATTCAGGCACAGTAGATGCAGAAAGCCATCCGTATATGTATAAGCTGATGTTGAACACGCTTGGAAGCTGCATACCACGTCCCTGAAAGCCCACATACAAAGTCATTCTTTTACTCTTGGCACGGATGTGTAAATTAAATCCTTGTTGCAACCAAATGCCAGAAGCATGAAATCCTTCCCTGTAAATTCTCCATCTCAGCAAAAACGCGTGCGCATAATGTTTGCAATTTGGATCAAAACCTGGAAATCCTCTGCAAAGTTGAAGTGCTTCCTTCCCTTACCCAGGGGCAGCACACCAGAATTTTGGATCTAATAAACATCACATTAAAACAGGACCTACAGAGATTAAGTAGTAAGCAAAACCATGTAAGCATGCAGTTCACCTCCTGCAAGAGCAATAAACTCCATGTGCTGGAATAGGACTCACTGCATTCCCTATGAAGTTATCTGATCCTCCTCAACCAAACCAATATTTTTATACATCCCAAATCAGGCCATTAGCTAAGACGGACCAGAATTTTAATTTAATGATCTAGACTTTTTAACAACTATGCCCAAGGATCAGCTCCGTGTGACAGTTACACAGCAATCGCCATCAGCTCTGTGCATTTGTGTATTTGCAGTGCATATACACAAAAACATAAAAAACATAAAACCCCAGAGGACACCAAGCATCCCTCAACTGCTGTGTCCACATTTTCTCCTTCATCTCCCCTGCAAATCCTCAAACTCCTCAGCAAAACTCATCAGAGACACAAATACAGGAAAACACCTTTCGGAGTTGCCCAGACAAAGCTTTCTTAAAGTGATTTTTTTGGGGGGGAAAAAAGAACTGTGCTGGGAACAGCATCCACACAATACTCCTCTGCTGATCTCAACCTGGGACAGGCTTAGTGGAAGCCAAGGGATATATGGCCAGGGTTACAGAGCTCTATCTCCAGGTGTAAAAAAACCACCCCATTATTGCAGTTTTGTTAGTCTTTTACTTCTGAAATGCAGATACTACCAAGCAGTTAAATTAAATCTCTGCTTCAGACTCRGTACCATCAGGATTCCTCTCGTAGAGATGCTAATACACAATCATACATTGGTTATTGGATTCAATTAAAACCCAGCTTAACTTGCTGCTTAGGGAATTAGCAGGTTGCTCATAAGCACAGGCATTTTCAAGGCCTTCCCCAGCCCTAACTCATCTCAATTTTCAGGCTGCCAGGAGGGGWTTCCTTCAGCAGTCAGAACGTGCTCTCTCCCAAGCTACCAAAACCTTCACAGTGCTGAAACCATTCCAGAAAGTTTCATGTGTGACAGACAACAGAGCAATGTCTCCTACAGCTTAAGAACATCCCTCAAGAATCAATTTAACATCGACAACACTGTMATGTGGCTAATGTGAGTTTTGTCCAGCAGGAGGGAACAATGCAGAGATAATTTCAGCTACTAGAGTCTGTCTGAAAGGTCCACCAGCTCCCAAACAGAGACACGACCATGGGTACTGTCTTCTCCCACCCAATGGGTGCTCTAAACCAGCCTATTGCTTTGGTTTCCATCAAATACAACTTAGGAAAGTTCACACCACAAATGTCACACTTGGCTTTAACATCCACATATGCAACCTGGATATTTATCACAGATAAGAGTCCTGTGTTCAGTAATTTCACATTCCACCCACCATAYTCTACATTTGAAAAACATGAAGTTGACATGTCCCAACAGGAGTCACTCTMACCCCCTACCAAGGGCAATTTTCAAGGAAGCAAAACCAGTAAATCAAGTAGCAATTATGAAAGCAACCCACATAAAGCAGATGCAAATGGAGGAAAACTTCCTTTTTTAAAAAATAAAATTACTTACTCCGTACTTGTTTAATAACAGGTTTCATAGGCTCCAGCCAAATCTGAAATTAAATAAAAAAATAGAAACTGATGGTTGCATTTGAATACAATATGAAAACATCAAAAGTAATTTCAACTAAAGCAGTTCTTTATGAGCATGTATTTCTTTCTCACTGTAGTAATGTGTTGTACGCAGAAGTCAGAGCATAGACTTGCAGGAGGTCTGGACAAAATCCTTTTTTTTTTCCCTTCCCCCTTTCTCTTTCCTGCAGGAATGCTATATAACGAGTTTTACTCCATATTCATTTCCCACAAATTCATCCTCTTCCCATAAGGAGACTTTCAGAGAGACTGTTGTCATTCCCAGGAAAAGGAAGATCCATAATGCCAACATGAAGTACTTCAGAAGCTTGACTTTATTTTTTTATTTATGGTAACAAAGTGATGGCATAAACTCAATCCTTACTAGTTACTCGCATGTCTGAGAGACAGCTGAGGATTTTCTGAACCTCATTAGATCCAGGCACGCTTTGGAAGCTTTGCAAAAGGAGCAGAAAGGGAACAAGCCTCCCTGCAGTTCTTTAGCTCAACAGCAGTCCACATTAGTGCTCGCTAGGCTGAGTCACTCAATACTTTCTGCATATGAGATCTAATGCTAGGGAAACAGAGAAAAATAATTAAGGCTTTGGGGAGTATTTTAATTTGGAAGCAACATTGTCCTCTTTGCAAGGTACAGAGTAGGAGACTGGGAGAACTACAAAACGCTGCCTGGAAAAGGGATGTAGTTCCTTAGTGCAACGAGTATTTATTTGAGAGAGGTTTGTAAGGATTCTTTGGAGAAAAATAACTGAAGGCAGAAATATCGGCACTAATAAAATGCTGCACATGTAGAATGTGATTTTATATGTGCTCTGCAGACTACATTGGGAGTTGCAAATTTTCACAAGGAAGGAGGGTTTTATCCATGTCCCTGAAAATAGAAAAACCTACAAGAATTTTTTAGTGCATTTTATAGACTTAACAAGAAATAGAATCCGATTCTCTTCTTTACTASTTGCCATTGTTCCAAGGAATGAAGTAGATGGACAATAATCAAACAGATAATCCCACATGAGGCTTAAGTGGATTTAAAAAAAAACTTCTGACATTCAGGCAAGCGCATTCTCCCAAACCCATCAAAAAGAATTCTTGGGAGACTTCACTTACCCAGTATGGCTGAATGTTCTGGAATTCAATTCCAAAATAGTCTGACTCCATCAAATTCAGATGCTTGTAAACTTCCGTCAGTAATGCTTGCCCATAGCATTTTGACTAAGAAAGTGAAAATAAGAGTGAGATGAATAATTAGGATGAACTAGAATTTAAGGCAAAGTAGCAGTAACATATGGCACAATTTTTCACGTTATTATTGACCACTTTTGATACTGTAACAGCTAAAGAGCCAGCGTAACCAAACAGGCTGCACAGGCTGCCAGGGTAATTCAGGTTACAAGGGACCTCCGGAGGTCGTCTAAGCCCAACCTCCTGCTCAAAGCAAGGTCAGCTGTGAGATCAGACAGGATGAGTGACAAACTGTTTGTCCCTTGTTTTTCTACCAGGAAACTACATGTTCAGATACACTCTGCTCCTCTGYGGAGAAACAGAAACACTTCTCAACCCCTGGTGAAAAAGCTGCAGGGCTAACGTTGCCTCTCCTTTAAGCCTCTGGCCTTTTCTGCAGCCTGGAAAGAATTATAAACATCTGCAGACACTCCGAGTTAAAGAGGACCTAAGTGGCCAGTTCTTGATGCTGGTTGAGATCTTGATGATCAGTTAGGATCTACCCCTGACCTAAGAGCCCTCAACTAGCACCTGGGCAAGGAGGTTGTCTTTGGAAACAGGACTTTGCAGGGGCCACATTAACAGCTCCTGGGGAACACACAGTCAGAGGAGGCCTTTGTCGATAAAGCCGGAATCTGGATTTTAAGCAGGGAGTCTTTGAAAACTGTGCCTCTCAAAACTTTGCTCTTGCAACGATGCTCAGTAAAAACACAGGATAACTAATAGATTTTATGTTGTTGTAAAGGACACACAAGAGGGCTCCAGTTCTCTGCCAAAGAAACCAGTGGGAAGCTCAATACCCCTATCTCTTACCATATTCTCCATATAAAAATCATCTGCGACGTGCCCCGCTAAACCCTTGCATAATCTTTAGTCAAGTCGGGTGCAAAGCAACGAGACACCCATCCTCAGAAAGCAGCTGTGCTAACCCAGGGCAAATTGAGCAGCTTTCCCAAGACGCCAGAAAGCCCCCGCTTCGCGCTGCTCATTCCAGCACACCAGTTTGCTCTCAGCACCCCTTACAGCCCGACGGTAGCAGCGGCCACAAGGAAAAGTGTCACTTATGAACCGCACAGCTTGAGGCTCCAGGGCTTTCTGCAGCCCTTGTTACCTGTTTCAGCAACACACGAGCGCTGCAGGGAAGGCTCCGGCTGCAGAAGGAAGCGCCTTGCTGAGCACAGCGGCCCCAAACAGCCTCTCAGCCTGATGAAAGGCAAATACAGAAGGATCGGATCTAACACACGCCCYTGCCAAGATTTCACTGCGCCCTTCGCTCCCGACGCGAGGGCAGCGCCTCAGAGGGCTCCCTGTTCCCTTCTTGGCAGCGTGGCTGCTTCTCGGCCGCTTCCTCCGCAAGCGGCAGCTGGGAACGCGCTGCCCTGGCCAAGCAGCTCTCATTTCCCTTCCTCCGGCTCCTTTTCATTCCTACTTCTATTCAGCACACCACGGCAGCAGGCAGATTTCCATGTGCGCTTTAGGAAGCAATTCTGGAACAATGAGGACACTGGAACGATGGGGACAGCGCCCAGCACAACTTCAGTTTGCCGGGTTTTCCAGCCAAACATTCRTGCCCCTGAGGGAGACCTGGTTTATTTGGAAAAGTCTCAACTTTTCCCATTAAAACAGACAGCGTGGACAGTTTTGCTGCCAATTCTTAAAAGMTACACTCTTGTGGGCTTGAACAGCATGAAGGGGCTGTAAATAAGTCTTAACAGAAGAAAACAACTATCTTTAAATCTGTTAGGATTTACTTAATCTTAATATATAATCTCAGTATATATGCACATACATTTTTTTGGTTGTACGTTTACTGCTCACAAGCACCACGTATTTGTGGATGAATCTTTCACAGCCAGCCGTTTCTGCCRGGGATGCAGCAGTACCACAACCAGCCTCCTATTTCCATCCACGAAGASGGGCCACGTCACGCTGACTTCTGCGGATAGTTTTATCAATCTTTACATCTCCTGAGCCAGAAAGTGTCCTGAAACACTAGGTCKTTGATACCATTTGCGAAAAGAGTCACACAGCTTTCTGAAGGGACATCTAACAATGTCTACTCTTATTTACAGGGTAGTTACAAAGATGATTGAGCCAAACTCTTCTTGGAAGAGGCAAATGATAAGGCACGGGGCAACAGYCACAACTTGCTACTTGGAAACTCAAGTTGGACACCAGGAAATATCCCTTTCCCAAAGGGTAGTGCAGGATCTTAAAGAGGCCCCAGAATCCCTGTCAATGATGGGTTCAAGACTTGTATAGACAAAGTCATGGCTGTCCTGACCCAGTGGTGGCACCAGTCCAGCTTCACGAGGGAGAGAGGACAACATCTCTAGAGATCCCTGTTGACCATTTGTCTGGCTCTTCCCAAAGCTGTTTGAGAAAGTAACTGCCTTGGAAATGTTTCCACGCACCACTGCTGTCAGCAATTGGACTCTGGTTTATCCCAAGAGCTTCCTGCCTTTCCGAGACCTCCTTGTGCCTTTTAAAGCATCAAGTCTTGAGACAGGACCACGCTGGTGTTTACAGACTGTGGCCTCAGAGGCCACAACGGGGTCAGTCTCAGAACATCTAAMCAGCCAAATCACTTGGCCTTGAAGGGTTGGGGCAAATGTAAAATGAGGACAGAAAGAAGAAAAAAAAACACATTGTTTTCTGCTTCACCTCCTGTAATTTGGTATCGTCCCAACATTTAAAAATCAAGGTTATATTAGTGCAAATATTTTTGTCATTTCAGCAATTAATTGCCTCCTCTGAATAGCTGCTGTTGCAAGTGTAAAACACCCCATACAGCCAGGGGACAAAAAACAGGTTTTTTTCCTTCTCTTACCCAAATCCTGCTGTTCAGTCATGCAGAATAGCAAAGAATGGAAGTATGGGAAACTATTTCTTTCTTTCAAACTGTAAGGAAACTATCCAAATGTTAAAAATTGGAAGCTAATTTTCCTTGGGCTTTTCAACTATAATTTTGGCCATCCTTCACCAAGGTAAAAAGAGGTTACAAGAGAAAATTTCACGCTGAACTGAATTTTATCCCATAGTACTTCCATCAAAACACAAAGCAACATTAATAATGTTGAATTTTAAAAGCATAATAAATACTGTTCCAGTGAAGTGGGTTTTCATTGGGTTACAAAACTGACAGACCTACCCAGCTCTTCCATTATTTTATGTCACAAATATTGTGGGGAAAACCTTTCCTGGCACTACTTCGTTTCACATTTTTTGGTACATTTATCTATTTCTAGCATATGTGCAAAGATATAACCACCCTGGCTGAAAAAAATCTCAAGATTTCAGATGTTGCCAAAATAAGAGTTAAGTTTTGTAGTTGGTAGCTCTATGTCAATGCTCAATCTGCCTAAAAACAGCACAAAGCAAAATATTTCAAGTCTTTTCCTCTGCTGTGGCTGTTATTTGGATGATGGGCAAGAAACCGATCCATTCATGCAGGGAAGAAAGGTCCCATTTTCAATAGAAATTCATAACATGGCAAACGTCCCACCCTGAATCCTCAGTTATTCCTTATGTGCTGCCAAGGCTACTACTGATATTACTGAATATTGCTGAAGTATCCCACAAAAATCTGCAGGAAGGATTAGGCAGAAAGGCAGTGGAGAAAACTGCCTAGCAGTTTGGCACCCAGTGCAACTAGAGACTAGWTTAAATCAAAATTATCAATTTCTGCCTAAGGAACATACCATCTTACTTGCAAAAATTGAGATATTTAGAAGGTGTGCCAACTGTAAGAAAATGACTTGTATGTAAAAACACTTCAGGATCAGAAATGAAAATTAATAATTGGAAATTGAGATTTTTTTTTCTGCCTGAAATTTAAAAAAAAAATAAATAAATTTTTAAAAAACCCACCCAACTGCTACAACCCCGACTTCATACATCAGTTTCCTCAGCCACAGCACTGAGTCATRTCATGTGCTGCGCTCTGCTTGACAAATTCAACTTCCAGATTCTCAGCACTTGCATTTTATATATATATGTGTACATACATTTACATTTTTTTAATATATGTGTGTGTATGTGTGTGTGTGTGTGTGTATTCACTCAAAGTAAACATCCAACGCTAGCAATTTTAAGGACAAGAAGAGTAAAATATAAATAAGATGGAAGTTGGAAGCACCATATTTATGTTTTAAATGTACTGTTTGACTGCTATTTACTATTTCCTTACCAGCATTTATTCCTACTTACACAGCAGGTCCTCTCTTTGCTGAACTGTTTTAGCTTAACGAGACAGAAAAAAACAACCTGGGAACACACACTATATGATTTTCAGTAGGCCTTGATCTAGTACCACCAAAACTCTCAGCAACCACTAAACACGTCTCCCAGACCATCCTTCTCTTTTGTCCATGTATTTTAACTTAAAAAAGTAAGTTTTCTTTTCGTAATGAGCATTTGTCATCCAAAAYGGACCAGCTGCCCTTGGGCAAACTTTCCAAAAACTAAACCCACTTTGGCAGGTGTTAGGCTGGAAAAAAATACATGCATATTTATCGGTCCAAAAGCCAAGAGTTTGGAAAATCTGGGAGTTATAAAACAGAAGTATAGCCTGGAAACTTACACAGYCAGACCCTGTGATACTGCTGGCTCCCGAATTTCTGCAACCACCGGTAGAGCTTGGATTTTACCTTACAAAAACCAAAACCTGTTTGGAGACCAAATCCCCCGGTAAACAGTCTATGCAGGGAGCGAAGAGCCTCATGTCAACACCGCAGCTGGCCAGACCTAGCAGCAAGACAGATCCTGGGGCAGAAGATGCAGCCTGGGTTGATTCAAGAAAAATCTCAGGGTTTAAATACCTTTTTYCCCCCCTCTCCTTTTTGCTGCACTTCAACAGTCTTCCCAAGGAAAAAGYGATTCCTCGTTTTTGGCAAATTAGAAAGACTAAATATAGTAACTACGCTGAACTCRCTTCCTTTCTTAACCAGAAGCCAGCAAACATTACAGTGATTTTATAGCTCTGTTTATCT